AATTCAAAATGTCAGAAATAGCGTTTAGTTCCAGGTTTTATCCAGCAGCCCAACAAAGAACATGCAAATAGAAACGGACGAATGGGTCCACCCATTTGGAATGGAATGTTAGGGGCTTCTTTTGTTAGTCTGTAATACCCAATACTGGTCTATGCCTCTGAAAGAGGGGTCGTTAGAATTGTTGGCCTGGCTGAATAGGGGAGGTCTTCTATACTATATATTATATGACTACTTTGAATTTATAGCCCCCCCTGGAGAAAACTCCACCAACCGGCACTGTTTTTTTTTGCATGTTTTCTAAACTAAAACCAGGCTTTGTTGGGCTGCTGGATAAAACCTGGAACTCAACGCTATTTCAAACATTTTGAATTTAAAAAGCTTCCTGGATGGAAGAGAAACGTCTTCAAACTTGGAAACAAAGTCCAGTGGATTGATTTTATTGTTTGTTTTTGTTTTTTTTTAACTTTTTTTGGAGGTTAAATAAAGAAAACTAAAGAGAGAGGAAGTTCTACAGAAGCAGCAGGAATCATTTTAAAAGATGATATAAAACTTAAATAAATATTTAAAAACATTCTGAATCTGATATTTTATCCTCTGCTGCATTAGACATTAGATTATCTTTATAACAAAATAACTTTTACTTCTGATTGTTTCTTTTTGAGACAAATCGAAGCTAAACTTTATGCCTAAATCAGCGGTTATTCTTAGCTTTAGAGAGCGTCCTGTACCTTTTATATTCTTATGTAATAGTTACAGAGCGTTTATTGATCTGTTAAAAGCAGATAAAACAGCAGGTAGGCGTTTCTTTCAGCAGAAATAGGATCAGCAAAGCTTTACGGAAACAAACATACAGATATTTGGCTTAATTTTCAGCATCAAATGTTGCTGTGGAGAAACATTTAAAGGTGGAAACAGAGATGAGACAAGAATCCAAACAAAAGCAGCGTTTTGAGTTTTCCGTCCCCAACAGGACGTCCTGTCTTCCCGTCTGACAGACCAATCCTCTCTGAAAGCTGTCCGTCCGGTTCTCACTCCAACCTTCAAGCCGTCGTTTCCAGGAATGTTGCAGAAACCAGTGGAGTGACCCTCAGTCGCTCATTAACCAGCACTCACAGCCTCTCAGGTCTCCAACCTTCACCATCAGCTCTCTCTATATGAAACCCACCTCGCTCTTCCCTTCCCACAATCCATCCCAACGCGCCTGAGCAATCCCAGCATGCACCTCTGCCTCGCCGCATGCTTCCAGTCCATTCAGGAGAAGAGAAATAAGAAGAGATGCAGCAGAACTCAGAGAGACGCTCCGTCAGGACTGAATGAAACTACCGGAATGTCAGGGCTGGGGCAGCCGGGGGGCGTGGCTTTAAAAGCAGTGGGCGGGGCTTATGACACCTGTCCATATGAATTATTTATGCCCAACAAATGAATCCAAAGTTTTTATACCGTTTAAAATTAACAACAATAATCAAAGTTTTTTTTTTTCATTAATTTGATACAAATTTGTTTGACTAAATAAGACAGCAAAATAAGAAAAAATGAAATTATAAAGACATTTCAAACTAAAATAGATGAAAAAAAAACATTTCAAAATTAAAGAGTGAAAAGAAAAGGAAAAAGAAAATTAAACAACAAGTTCAGAATTTGAAAATATATTCTTATTTATACATATATGTTTTTGTTTCCTGAGGGTGTAAAAAAACAAACAAAAACAATAGTAGAATAAATCAGCTATAGAAAAAGTAAACAGGAGGGCAGATCTGAGACCAGCTGCAGCTCTTCTTGTTTTAGCAGCAGGTGAACATTTACACCAATACACACTCTAACACACACTGTGAAACACACACTCTAACACACACTCTAACACACACTCTAACACACACTCTGAAACACACACTCTGAAACACACTCTGAAACAC